AGGGAGGTGGGTTGGCAGGTTGGAAGGAGGATAGAGGTAGGAGGCGAGAAACAACTTCATTTTTAAAATAAAAATAAAAAATTTAAGTTTTAATCTTCTTATTTTTTCTTAAAAAATTTAATTTTTTTAAAATATATTATTTAATGCCACATGGCTCTATATTATTGGATGTGTGGCCCATGTATGTACCACGTCAGCATTTTAACAGAAAATTCGACGGAAGTTAACGGCAGGGACCATTTTGATGTGCGGAGGGTAACCTTAAAGACCGTTAGTGTCACAAAAAACATTAAGGACGAAAGGCGATAATTTCACCAACCTCAGGGACTATTTGTGATAAAAAGCCTAATTAAAAAGCAAACTCCAGTTGGGTAACTAAAGTATGTACCTTATAATCATATTTTGAATCTAAAAGATATATTGTTACCTTCTGGACAAGGATAGCTGTTCTGGCACTCTCCAAATGATCTATAAGTGTAGTGAAAATCAGCTTATGTAAATTTGAAGTTGACAGAATGAAAAGAAAAAAATGCTTCATCATTGAAGATTAATATGTTAGAAGCTTACGATTTGTCTCGTGCAGAAAAGCTTTTGAACAAGTTCCTGATACATGCGAAATCAGTTAGGTTCAAAAGAAAATTAGGCGAGTGAAGACAGCAAACTGTGCAGTATGCCAACTGAAAAGAAGACCGCTTACAGGTATTCTCTACCACAAGCTGGCTCAGAGCTTGGATAAAAATTATTGTAAGAAACATCTATCTGGCTGCACACAGATATAGTAAACATGTAAGACTCCATCAGAAACAGAATGTGCATCGGACCTCTAAAGAGGTCATGAGATTAAACTCCACTCAAAGTAGAAGTTCTCATAATTCTAAATATATCTGTGTGTATGTGTGAAAAATATTATGATGACTTAGAAGAATATATTCCTGCAGGATTGTATGGAAAATAAAACCCAGGATTGTATTGGATGGAAAACATACTATTGATTATCTCTGCCCTTGATCCAGTTTGGAATAGATCCAGTGAGCAAGTTGCTTGTTAGATACCTATTCACATTCAGTAAAAGTATATCGTTACTGTTTCAAAAGGCCAGTTACATGGATGAAGATATTGACTATACATGAAATAACTAGGAATTTATGCATGCGGTATGTAATTTAATATAGGTAAATATGATATATTCCGAGGAGGCCCTATGCATCATGAAAACACAACCTGCATGAAATTTACATTTCTTACAAGTGCTTCAATTTTGTCAGAGCTGCTAAATCAGGAATGTCTCCTTCCAATCTGTTGAAGCTGAGATCTCTGCAAGAAAATAACTAGAGTTGTGTTATAAGAACCCAAAGTTTATAACTTGGATGTTTAACTGAACAAATTGAACTCATTAACCAAATTGTGATAAATAAATAAAATTAAATAATTGTATTCTGTGCAATTGAACAAAAAAATAAGTAGTATTACAATGTTTTCAATGTTCTATTCATTGCTGATATATAAGTGGGGATGCGTCCCGATAAGTTACAGCTCCTCAGCAGTCTGCAACATAACTATCTATTAGCACAAGTGCAGCTAAGCGTCAACTAGTCTAAAATTATAAATAAAAAATAAAAAAAGAGAACATTTTCAATACTTACAAATATTCCATGCATGTCATACTACTCAAGGGTGGAAATTCTGAACCCGTTCCATTTATGTCACTGATCCTTCTGCATTTAATTGCATCATGAACCATTGTTAAAAAGAATCCCTGTTATAGGAAGTAATAATTAACTTGTAAACGTAGATTTAGGTTCTTTGGTGTTAATGCAACTTAGGATTGAATGCAGAACTCACAGATCTGTTAAATTACTCAAGGCAGAAATGTTAGACGGAATGGGCCCTTGGAGACCACTAGCCTGGATCTCTCTGTCAACAACAGAATTCAAAACGAATAGATGTCACACCAGAAAATTTCTATATCCTAACAATTTACAATATGGGATAGAAAAATCACTTACAATTTCTGAAGTTGCTTCCAGCTTTGAATAAAATCAGGTATTCTTCCTGTGAAGTTGTTACTGCTAATCCTACTGCATAAAGAGAAAGATTGAATAGCATAAAGTTGAAGATTTCTTAACACGCCAAATTTATAAAGTAATTAGAAGTAAAGGGTACAAACACTTACAGTTCTGTTAACTTAGTCAGATTAGTAAGAGCCGGTGGCAACTCTCCTGTGAGATTGTTTGCACTAAGAATGCTGCAGATACCAATGCCAACTTATCAACTGGTACTTGCATATTCAACTTATTTCATATTTAAAAATCAAGAATTAAACAAAAGAAAACAGAGGGTGAAAGGGCCAAAAAAAAGAAAGAAAAGAGGCTTACAGACTGTTCAAGTTAACCAATTTCCCAAGCTCAGGAGGAACAGTTCCAGAAAAGTAGTTATTCTTCAAGCTCCTGAAAACAGATTCTCCTTCATCACACTAGGCTAAAATCAAATGAAACTTAAAATTGATTTTGACAAATAATATGAGGTGGTAAAGAGAGATAGAGCCAGAGCATACATATATGTTAGGGTGCTTATGTTTCCCAAGTAGCCAGGGATTGGTCCTGATAAATTGTTCACATTAACGGACCTGCACAGTACACATTTTGTCACTTCAGTTAATATAAGCTATTATTGGCTAACCTCGCATGAAGTTCAGAAATCCTTTACAGATATTCCAACTTTGTAGAAGCCCATTCACGCGGTATAGTACCGGTAAGGTAGTTCCTGGTAAAATCTCTGTAAACAAGAGTAGAAGATATTAGTAATAACATTACCATTTGTGGAAATGATATAAGAAACGTTTTCAGATGATAGATGTTATTAAAAAAATAAAAAATAAAAAAATTTACAACTAAAAATGTTTCCCTTACACTCTTGTTAGGTAGGGTAACTTTGCAGCAGATGGTGGAAGTACACCAGCAAGATCTTGCCCTTTAAGAACACTGTATCGCAAAAATGTCAGAGATCATAAGAACATAAAGAGTCTTCATTCGGAATCTTGTCCATAGAAAAATAATGAAAACTGGATTGAAATGCTACCTAAGATAATTAAACCAATAAATAAACAAACAGAAAATGAGTACAAATAAAAGCTTTCAGTTGACGTACATTCTGACAACATGGCAGAAACCATCAGGGTTGGAGCAGTTGCATATGAGACTGTTTTCGTATAGAGACAAGTCAGCAGATTGGGTATTCCAATTTTTGTCATTGCTGCATGGATCTATGCTGAAGTTCCAGTCTTTTTTTCCCACTTGTGTTGCTGTTTCATTTAGTGCTTCCACTGAGCACACAAATCCAATCATGAATCTTTTTATTTTTCCATTTTCTGTGTTTTTTATGCATCAGCCGAGTTTATTTTTCATTTTTAAAAGAAAAGTAGAGTGATTGAGCTTGGGAGCTTCTATAATGAGGAGACTATGTGAGGAGGTTATTTGAGGAGGTCCATCTCACCATCAAAAGGGGTGTGGACCCCCCAATGCACCCCCCATGTAATTTGTTTTTAGTTGTTGATGGTGAAATTTCACTTCCTCAAATAACCTCCTCACTCAACCTCCTCATTCTAGCCTTTCCGCCTGATATTGCCCCAAATTAATGTTGATGCCAAATAGTGATTGGGCTTGGGCCTGGGCCTTCTGCCACCCACCATTCTAACCTAGAAAACCTCTCTAGAAGATACAGATCATGCTCTGTATATCTCTCAATCATTGAATTTCAAATCCATTTCCACTTGTAATGATGAAAGAAAATTCAGGTCCAACTCTTTAGCTTCTTTCATTTCGTTTTCGATTTTAAATCAAAATAAATTTAGGATGAAAACAAGTTCTTTCTTTTTTTAAATCTTTTTTGTAAGTTTATATCTAATCTAACCAACTTGTAAAATTAGATGGGTTCTAATTTTTGTTTATACTGACAACATTGAACTGGGAGTACTCTAACACAGTAACACTAGAAAGGCTAAAATCTTCTACCAATTCTCAATCAAAAAGACCAACTTTTGCATTGAGCACTCTGTTCTCTGCTGTTCAACAAAACTATAAAAATAAAACACCAGGCTTCAATTTTTTTCAAAACAAAACAAAAACTGAGGCTTTAGTGCATAGATTTTGAGTATCAGCAATGCCGACTTGAAAAACCATTCAGAAGAAGAAGAAGAGATTGTGGTTCAACTTTGACTGTGGATATACAGAAGCAGAGGACCAACATGGCTACCAAAATGACAAGGTCCATGGTGGCTTTTGAAATATCAAAATGACTATTTGTGACAAAATGACTATTTGTGAGCACACATATTAACCTTGAGGATCACAAATGACAAAAAAAAACAAGAAGGACACAATCTGATAGTTTCTGAACCTCAAGGACGTTTTGTGATAAAAAGCCTATTCTAAAATCTAACTTTCCTAATGATTACTATTAACAGATGAGTATTTGAATTATTCCCTAATTCTGTTGCATTTACTAACATATAAGAATAAAACTTGTTTGAATTTCACATTAAAAGATACAATCCAATACCTAAAAAGAAACTAGATTGATTGAATGGTAGTAATTGATCTCATGCATATTCATTCTTTTACTTATTCCTTAGTTCCTTTACTCGAACTAATTGAACACGTTATAAAGAGAGTTTCATGTCGTAAATTAAACAATAGTTGAGAAAACAACCTTTGAATATGAAGAAATTCTTAGTGTGTGTGAGAGAGAGAGATAGCATCAAATTCAAATGGGTTATGTATTTTAATTTTTGTAACGGTTGATATCAATGGATGAGATGAAACGTGTTAGTAAAGGATGATAACGAATAATACTAAGTGTAAAAAAAATTAATAAAATAAAATAAAAAGAGGTTGGTTTGATTTCAAGATAACACCGAGAACAAAAAAGAACATAGGAACTCAGAGAGCAGTCTGGGGAGGATGTATACAGCCTCCAGCAAATAATAAGCGACAATAGAGCTTTAAGGAGATTCCAAAATCACGCTCCAACAGATGCCAACATGGAGCCATGGATCTGAAGAGGATGACACAGTAGAGCGGAAGAGGTTGCGAGAATTCGAGCCGAGCAGGAAGCGATCCAAGATCAGAATTTTGGGACAAGGAAAGGAAGAAGAGATGGGGAAAAAAGAGGAAAACAACACTGGCTATGGAAAATGGTGGATAAGAACCACTAGAACGACAATAGAGCTTTAAGGAGATTCCAAAATCACACTCCAACAGATGCCAACATGGAGCCATGGATCTGAAGAGGATGACACAGTAGAGCGGAAGAGGTTGCGTGAATTCGAGCCGAGCAGGGAGCGATCCAAGATCTGAGTTTTGGGACAAGGAAAGGAAGAGGAGATGGGGAAAAAAGAGGAAAACAACACTGGCTATGGAAAAGGGTGGATAAGAACCACCAGATATGAGCATAAAGCCCAAGCAAAATCACCAACAGAGGGTGAGGAGACTCTCAAACAGAGAGGGTGCAAACCAAAACGCAAGAGAGAGGGCAGAGAGAAAAGTTGGAAAAGTTGACCCTTGTGTGCCCTACTACACCACTGTGATTATGAAGTGAGGCTTCAGTGAATGCATGGATATTAGTATTACCAATATATACAAACTTAAACAAGAAGAACAGTAAGTTACCTTCTGCAGCAGGCAGACGCGAAGCTTGTGCTTCAACTTCGACTGATTTGGTACATAAGCAGAGAACCGAAATGAGCATAATAAGGTTCATGATGGTTTTTGGAGCAATACAATTAACTCCTCTTGCCATTTATCCTTGATGCACTACAATGGTAAGAAAACTCTCTCGAAATTTCTCTTTCTTTCTCTTTATCTCATCCTCACTCTTCTTTCTTACTCAGGCTTGTACAACACACAAACCATTACCTATTTATAGGCAAGGAGTGCAAGACCCTTTAGTGAGAGTGGGGCCTTTCTTATTTCATATTCATACCAATGTTTTGAAAGGCGATGCGTTGATGCGAGGCATTTTAGTCGCGCTATGAGAGGCGTAAGCCTTTTGAACATTAATTTATTTTAATAAGAAAAATTTATGAATAATACAATACAATTTAATTATATAGCTAAATTATACGGAACTTCAAATTATAATTGCGAAGAATTAGAGAAAAATAGAATGGCTTACTTGCAGTCTAAAGATGAAGAGATTTCTTGAAATTGATAGAGATTATCCGGTGAAAGTAGAAATTAGGGTTGTACTATACAATATATATATAAATCCATATATTAATATATTAATTTAGAATTTAAAAAAAAGGAAAAAAAAAAAGGGTAAGTAGAATAAAAGCTACAGTCGCCAGGAGTTAGAAAAGGATAGGAATCTTTGGTCTTTATTTATTAAAGTTCATCCTTACCATAAAAAAATAAAATAAAATAAAAACAAGGGAAGAAAGATATTATTAATATTAAAATTGAAAGCCATAGCCTACAACTTGCGTTAAAGGCTACAACTTGCGTCTTATTAATATTGAAACTGAAAGCTACAGCTTACGTTTTATATTTTTCAAAACACTCTAGTGAAACGATATCATTTCATTTAACCCTAAAAACAAAACACGCGAGTCTTCCTCTTCGCAGAGTCATCTTCCTCGCAGAGCCATTTTGCAGACTCATCTGCGCAATCTCTTCCGGTTCAGAATTGTCCAGATCTAACGCCGCCTTGCTCCGCCTCGCTCCGCCTAGCCACGCCTTGCAATGCCTCTTCACGCCTTGCCCGCGCTAAACGTGCAACTCGCGAAATAGCCGACCGCCTTAGGCGATTACCTGCCGCCTAGCTCCGACGCGCGCGCAGACGCGCGCGAAGGCATGCCTTTGAAAACACTGATTCATACTATTCCTGCTCTTGTTCATACATGCTGCTACCCTCAGTTTTTACCAAAGGACTTGAAGAGCAACTACCCTCAGTTTCCGTCCTCAATGTCGATCAGTCAATATGATAGACTTTGACAATTAATTACTTTTAGTTTCCTTATGCATACAGTGGACTTGACGATTGGTTTGGTCCCCAACAGAAGGATATTCTACGGAAATTTTGAGAGAAACTTCGCGCTTGGAAAATTTCTTTTCTCATTCTAATTCCGGTTTGGCCTATGTGTAGGTATATAAATTTTTACACAAATCTCCTCCTTCTAACCTATCAGCCCCAAAATCAGAGAGAGAAAAAAAAAACAGAGAGAGGAAGAAGGGGAAGAGAGAGAGAGAGAGAGAGTTGCAGAGGGAGAGATGAGAGCGTGTGTGAGAAAGAGGAAGTGTGTGTGCGCGTTAATATTACCATATAGCCCTCCTGTTTTGTCCCATGTGATACTCAAGTGTGAATTTTGAAAGAACTTCGAATGAAATCATTTGAAATCTAACGGTATGGGTGAAATTAGCGAATTCATGTAGTTCGGGTGCTAAATTGGTATATTTTTTAGTTCATGGGGTAAGTTCGATTAGGGTGATAGTTCAAGGGAGTAAACGATTGAAAATCCTTGTTATTATGAAATAGAGGCATTTATTAGGATTTCGCCATTTATGTACAATGCACACAAACCATTACCTATTTATAGGCAAGGAGTACCTGACCCTTCAGTGAGATTGCCCTTGCATAATGCATCCCATTAGGCCTTCTCCAATCCATTTGGGACTAAGCCCAAATTTTCCTCCTCCAAAAAGCAACTATTTGTGTTTTGACCGGACTCAAACCGTTTTTTCCCCAACCCTTCAGACTCAAATTTTAAGTCCACAACTTTATTAAATTGTTTAAGAATGGTTTAAGTCTAATTTTTTTTTAAAATGGATAACGTTTCTTCATTTAATCTTTTTAAATAACTTCATAATTTAATTTTTTGAACAATTTAACCTAAAAAAATTGAAATTCCACAAATATAATTTTTGGTGGATTATTTGAGAAATGGGTGGGTATTTATAGAATTTTGAGTGAGTTTTAGGGTTGGATTTGATTTAGATTAATTAAAAATATTATTTTGACCATTGGATTTAAATTTCAGCTGTTGGATTTTTATTTTTACCATTAAAGTAGTATGGATTTAATATAGATCGTTGATTTTGGTTACTATTGGAATATATTTAGGGGATGTTTAAACCAACCGCAACATCATGAGCGCATGACATGTGGCACTAGCTGCACATGGGCTGCGTGGGCTCCATCAGAAAAAATTTCAGTCCAGGCAATAGCCAGACTGGTATTTGACCACAAGTTTTGATTTTCTCAAATTTTGGCCCCTTGATTTTCTTGGGTTGGGAAAGAAAATGGGCTAAAATTTGGGATATTTTAAGTTTGGTATCATGGGTATAGGAGATGGCCTTATTACACCCATTTACTTTCACCTGTTTGATTCGAGGGCAATCTTGTTTTGGTAGGATTTAAAAACTAAAGTGTGGATGTGGTTGGTTGCTTTCGAGTGAGTGGCATATGCATGTGTTGCTATCACGTGGCAAATGCATGTGTGGCTTATAGTTCAGCAAATCAGTCAAAACAACTATGCAAAGCCAAACACATATATCATAAAGCAAGAAGAGATTCCATCCAGAAAGCAACATATATAATAAACGAACAGCCATGAGAAACGTATAAGGGTAAATATTAGTATGAAAATTGTATTGGCATTTCCTAGATTCTAGCATAGGTCGGGAATTAGGGTGTGAATATCTTTTACTGAAAGTTTTGGCGCAACACATTCAATCCCGGATTTTCGAAGTATGACTTGATCAATATGAGGAACTTGATTTCAGGTAAATCATGACATAATCATGCATTCATTATAGGATTCCTAATTGGAGTTATTTTCACTCAAATGCTTTTATATTAGTCCTATTTTTAATAGGATTAGATTTTATCTCTTGAGATTATTTTTCTAGTTGAACCTTATTTCGGTTTAAGTAAAAATATCCTTTTTTTCATATTTGACTTGGAGAACATGTTTCTTTTAATACCTAAATTGGTTTCATTGATATATATGGTTTCCTTGTATAACAATGGACGGGATTGGAAGTTAATTAATCTTGAAGAGTGAATAAGATGACGATATGGAATAGGACTTTTGTATAATCAAATCTAATTAGGAAAGATATTGATCTCTTGGCTTTATGAATTTTCTCTTGCAAGATAACATATAAAGCAAAGGCGTGCATCTCCTTATTTGTACAGCTTTTACATGTTTTAATTGATCATTAAATTTCTCTAGAAAAGCTGATGTGTATATAGTTGTGATAATTCAAAGTGTTGCAAGTTTACATGGTAATTTATCAAACATTTTTATCATTCATATTGCATTCATTTGCATGTTCTGTGACTCATGCGATTGAGGGCACTAAGATGCCTAATTGAATACCACTGGACTTTTAAGCTTCAGAACAATCTATTAAAATCTTAATTGAATACACCCCTTTAATTTCTTTTAAGTAAAATTTATTCTTAATCATTTAGCAGTCACCAAAAACAGAAACTATTCCTAATCATTAAGCTTGAGTAACCTCATGTAAAATTTTCATCATCTTTCTAAAACTAAGAGTCATAATATATGTGATCTGATGTCTCATCAAAGTACTTTACTAGCATGATCTCTTGATCTCTCATTCTTTTCTCCGATTGATTGCCAACATAGATGCTTGATTATTTTCAGGGGCCTCTTAAGGGTATTAATCCTTGACTAGAATATTCAATGTCTCATCCTCAGGTCAGTTCCTATTAATGAAGGGACCCCTTATAGAATAGACTTATTAATCAAGAAGACTTTTGATGGCACGAGTCAACTAGCAACTAGCAACTAGCTGTATAATTGCATTATTGATTAGAGATAGTACACAAAAGTGAAATGCATAATTGATTGAAGATAGCAATGCTATCCACTTTACAAAAAAGTTAAATGCATAATTGCATTATTCATTGGAGATAGAAATGCTATCCACGTATGCATAATTGCATTATTCATTAGAGATAGAAATGCTATCCACGTTACAAAAAAGTTAAATGCATAATTGCATTATTCATTGGAGATAGAAATGCTATCCACGTTACAAAAAAGTTAAATGCATGTTATCCATGTTACAAAAAAGCTAAATGCACCGGTTATGATAGAAATGCTATCCACGTTACAAAAAAGTTAAATGCATAATTGCATTATTCATTGGAGATAGAAATGCTATCCACGTTACAAAAAAGTTAAATGCACCAGTTATGCATGACAAACCTTATCTTTTGAAAAATCACCAGGAAAACGAGTGAACTAATTAAATTGAATCTTCAATTGAATAATATTGATATTGTTATTATTGTTGTTTGCAGAGACAAACATGGAACGAATAAAGCTAATAGAAAATTGAACAAAATATGTACAGAAAAGAAAATATGGACACAGCTAATCGGTATATGCGTTTCCGAAGACTACGAACTACAACATATTTGCTACTATAGAACCAGAATGTCCACAACTGTCAAGAGGGTGTTGAGTCTGGATTGATTTCAGAGAA